GAATTGGTGTAGCAAGTCCACAGACTGAAGAATTCTGGTAACATGAAAATTTATGTTATTGTTTTTTTCCTGAAAATAGTTTAGTTTATAAGCTTTATAAACTGACAGTTTCACTTTCCTAACGTGAACAGCAGCGCTAACTTGTTTGTTAATTAACATGAAGTGTAAAAACGTACAAAGAAAGTTGTATTAGGATCGCACAAACATAAATGTGGCATTTTCGTTTTGGATTTTATTACTTTACTCCGAACATTACGCCATTTCCGTTTTACTCTGGACAATACGCCATCTTCGTCTTTTGTTTTGTTACTTTTTATTCCGAACAATATTTAATTCTCAATTTGGATGTCATTACTTTTTTGTTTGTTTGTTTTTGAATATCGCGCAAAGCTACACGAGGGCTATCTACGCTAGCCGTCCCTAATTTAGCAGTGTAAGACTAGAGGGAAGTCATCACCACCCACCGCAATCTCTTGGGCTACTCTTTTACCAACGAATAATGGGATTGACCGTCACATTATAACGCCCCCATGGCTGAAGGGGCGAGCATGTTTGGTGGTACGGGGATTCGAACTCGCGACTCGCAGACTGCAAGTCGAGCACCCTAGCCACCTGGCCATGCCGGGCCTTCATTACTTGGATTTTGTTACTCAACATACTATATTCCGAGAGGTTAATTATATGTTACTTTATGAATTGCTATGCAATAAACTCTTGATTTACAAGGTTTGCGCCCCCCAGTGGCACAGCGGAATGTCTGTGCTAGAATCCAGTTTTCGATACCCGTGGTGGGCAGAGCACAGATAGCCCATTGTGTAGCTTTGTGCTTAACTACAAACAAACAAACAAACAAAATACAAGGTTTGCTTGAATAAAACCCGGGTTGTTATAAGTCTTGAGACTTACACTGAAGGGCAAACGTGATGGAACTACAGTTGTGTTTTTAATTTTAATATCCAAATTTCTATTCGTGAAGAAGTCTTCGTTGGCTCACCGGTAAGCTTATAATGCTAAAGTCCAGGGTTTAATTCCCCGCAGTGGACATGAAGCCGATAGCCCATTGTGTAGCGTTGCGCTGAATAACCAACAATGATGTTTAATTCCTTATGCTCTTCAAACAAATTCTTATGTCGTTTATTATAATTATTAAACGAACAATTGAAAAGTGCAAGCCATTTTTATTATATATATATTTACCAGTTATATTGTTCTGTTTATTTACTTAATTTATTCAGATTTTTTTTTTGTTAACGTGATTTTTTCATCTATTTAGTACTTTTATTTTGTGATAACTCTCTCATAGTGTTCTTGATTTTTATCCCGGCTTTTCTTAACGGGGGGGGGGGGGTATTGACTTAGCTTGGGGAGGCAACATTTCAGGGGGCCTGGCCTTCCACTAGTGCCGGTCTTTTTGGACTTACGTTTCTCCTGTTTGATATTTTTGGTTTTTACTTTTAAAAAATTTTCTATCAATTATTTTTAGCTTACGTTGTTTTTATTTTTTTTTTGCCTATATTAATAACTTTTATTCTATTAGTATTGTTCCCGGTGGAAACAGCTATAAGTTTATAGACTTACAATGCTAAAATCTGGCATTCGATTCTCTACGGTGAACATAGCAAATAGCCCAATGTGGTTTTACTCTGAAACAACCAACCACTAGCATTTTGGGTCTATGTGATTCCCTTTATTTACCATTTTTTTTGAGCTTACATGATTATTTTTTCTATTTAGTATTGTAGTAGAATTTGGTTTGAATTTCGCGCAAAGCTACACGAGGGCTATCTGCGCTAGCCGTCCCTAATTTAGCAGTGTAAGACTAGAGGGAAGGCAGCTAGTCATCACCACCCACCGCCAACTCTTGGGCTACTCTTTTACTAACGAATAGTGGGATTAACCGTCACATTACAACGCCCCCACGGCTGAAAAGGCGAGCATGTTTGGTGTGACGGGGATTCAAATCCGCAACCCTCAGATTGCGAGTCGAGCGCCTTAACCACCTGGCCATGGCGGGCCGGTATTGTGGTAACACATACTTGAAAAAATACCTAAACGTTAAATGGGTAATTTTCTTTGACGATTTCATTATGAGAGCTTAATGAAATATTTTTAAAAAAAAGATGTGATAGGAGACATTTATAAATCAAAATCCAGATAACCCTGCTAAATAAGTTGGCATTATTATTTTCTTTGTGTAAAAATCTTCGTTGCTATTAATATTTGTCCAGAATGACAAAAATAATTCACAATGTACGTTTTGTTTGAGGTGTAGCAAATTTCAAACCAAATAGCCCCCGGTGGTAAAGTGGTAGGCTTCTAACGTTAACAATCTTGTTTCAATACCCGTGGTAGGCAAAGCACAGATAGCCCATTGTGTGGCTGTGTGTTTAACAACAAACAATCAAACCAAATATTCAGAAAGTTTCCCGCTTGCAAATATTGATTATTTTTGAAAACAACTTTGCGAATTTTGTAATTGTGTTTGTAATTAAACACAAAGGTATACAATGGGTTATCTGTGCTCTGCCCACCACGGGTATCGAAACCCGGTTTCTAGCGTTGTAAGTCCGCAGACATGCCGCTGTGCCACTGGGGGCTTGCGAATTAGGTACGAAAAATAAAATATTGACTACGAATGTTAAAAGCTTCACACTTATGAGTTTCATAAGCGCTAGGTAATTAATAACATAAGCGCTAGGTAATTAATAAAAGTTGAAATACCCCATGGTAGTATAATCCCACTTAAGTTAGATGTTGGTGATTATGCAAAATCCTTCAAATTAGTTTAACCTTCAAATTATGGATTTCATTTTTATACCGTTCACTACCGGTGGGGCCCACATACTGCATCATATTGAATAATTTAATATTTTTAACTGTTACAACGAAAGAAAGTGTGTAATTAAGAAGCACACAGCTACACAATCTGTGTTTTGCCCACCACGGGTATCGAAAACCGGATTCTAGCGTTGTAAGTCCGCAGGCTTACCGCTGTGCCACTGGGGGGCGTGTTACAGCGACATTAAGAAGAAAAGAATTGAACAAAATATTTGGTAAAATAACTCATTTTCTATGTAAGATACAAAGGGTTGGTTGGTAGTAATTAAGCACAAAGCTACACAATGGGCTATATGTGCTCTGCCCACAAGGGGTATCGAAACCCGGACTCTAGCGTTGTAAGTCCGCAGACATACCGCTTTGCCACTGGGGTCAAGATACAAAGGGAGACTCAGCAGTAATTTGTGAGATAAGTTTCATTACTCGGAGTTGTTTTCAATTTCTCTATGATTGACTTATTAGGGAATTCTATAAACGTAGTGATACTGATCCGATTGTAATTCTATGGTTAAGATTACCATTTTTCATTTTTTTTGAAGTTTTCAATTCCAAAAAAAAAGACTAAAGCTTAAAGAATTCATTTAATAGTTCTTGCACTTAACACGCATTTATAATATTACTTGATTATAAAGTACATATTATAAAATTCTATACGTAAAAGGAATATTTTAAAAACAAACCGTAAAGTTTTCAAGTTCAAGCTAGCTATACAATAGCTTATCCGAATACGAGCAAGGTCCTGCGAAAATGTTTAGAAAGTAACTTAAAAACGAAACACATGTTTCTACATGCCAAGAACTTGAAGAAGATCCACTGCCCTCATGCAGCGACCACTACCTCTGACCGGTGGTAGCCGCGGGCCCCACTGTCACTTCTGTAGTGGACGGCGTCACTACAAGGAGAGACGCGCATTTCGTTATTTCTCAGCTGCGGACGTCCCATGGAGTCGGCGTTCATTCAAGTTCATCTAGAGCTCAGACTCAGAAATTAACTACCCAACGAAAGGGGGCTACAGAAAAGTTTGGACAAAGAGCGCGGCGCGTTACACTAAACCAGGGGACGCCCAATCTTTATGCAGAAAATGCATAGCGAGAAAACGCCCCAGGGGAGGTTGGCACCCCCTCAAAGGTCGGAATCCAATTATTTGTGTGGCTAATGCTAGAAGTAGTGATTACTTTCCCTCCCCTACCTGCCCTACTAATAACCTCGAATAATCCGCACCATTATAAGTGTCAACAATCGCCTCCAAGAGGAAACCTTATCAGCTCCCGGCTACTTGGGCGTCATTGGTGCGGCTAGCCTCAAAGTATACAGTGGAGCTACAACATTGGTTCACGAAGTTCACACTTAACGAGAAGGTGCAAACGGCTTTTATTCTGATGAAGTAGAAATAGGCAGGCTCTTGGGGGAGGAGAACTTTAGTTGATGACCCTCCTTTTTCGAGAACAGAGTCAACATCGAGTCTGTGGTGAGTAAATAAACCAGCAGCAGTGTTAGTACCAGAAACGTTTTGTCAGTAGAATCATCTTTTTTATACAGAGGTAAGTACAAGCTTGAATAGTCCTTCTGTGTATCAACCTTCCCGTGTACTAAGTACGTGTAAATAGCAACATTTAAACAAACCGACGGAAACTGTGTGCATCGACTTGAAGATTAAACAGCTAGTTTTTTACAGTTCTCAAACTTCAGTACAAATCTGTAGGGCTAAACCGATATTTTCCCCACTTCTCTGGACCTAATCACTAACTCAGGTTCTTAGTACTTGGTATTTAACCTTTAATCAACAAGCCGAGTTTTGATGAGGACGCACAAAACTTAAAAGTTTTTTTTAGAAACCTATAATGTTTTTCAGAGCATATCTTTGTATTCAAAAGCTTTCATTAAAGCATGAGTGTCAATAAAAATACGAAAATTGGCTATCAACAATATAAAACAGTTTGGGGTTATATAGACTCCACCCAAGTATGTATTTGTTAATCAATAAGCGGTTAATCCATTGATTTACTTTAACAGTCTTAATCATATCGATATGGATCGTTGGTTTATAAGAGTAACGCTTTACAGCCTTAAAAGCATCATTGTATTTAAAACTTGACATAGTAGTTATCTCGAAGTCATTTCAATTTTTGCGCAATGTTTAACCTTTTTTTTTCTGTTCTTAGGTGGAAAATTTGGAAACGACCACAATGGTTATGTCAACACAGCTTAATCCTGGATTTGTTAGCTTCAGTGGATCAACTTCTCCTGAAATGGATCATTTGAAATCCATGTGTTCCCCAACGTTACCGTCATTACCTTGGACATCCAGTTTTATGGATTATGTGACCGCAAGCTCAGCTCCAGCCGTATCAACTCTCCGGCAATCTTCTTGTTTCATGCCAGCAGAGATCCCTTTAAACGCCCCAACAGAATTTTGCGATTCCCATAACGTCCTAGCCGACAGTAAATCCATGATGTTCGGTTACTCCGTCTTCAGCTCCTCATCAGGTGCCGTTTCCTATTCTGGACCCTCAGATCACGTGGTCTCGGCTCCACAGCCTATGGACCCTACAGGTTGGTGGAGTATGCAGCCTGCAGTGCCTCAGCTTCCCCCCACGTTTACGTGTGGACTCCCCGTTCATCCAGGAGTCCCTATCATGAAGTCGGACGCTATGTCATTTGTGTCCAGACCTGCATCTACCGTCTCCACGCGCCGATGTCGTCGCTGTCGTTGTCCAAACTGCCAGGAATCGAGCATCAATGGAACCAACAAGCGCAAACAACATATTTGCCACATCCCAGGTTGTGGAAAAGTCTATGGGAAAACTTCGCACTTGAAAGCCCACCTTCGCTGGCACACTGGGGAGCGGCCGTTCATTTGCAACTGGCTCTTCTGTAGGAAGACGTTCACGCGCTCCGATGAATTGCAACGACACCTCCGAACCCACACTGGCGAGAAACGTTTCTCATGCACCGAATGCGGGAAAAGGTTCATGAGGTCAGATCACCTGAGCAAGCACGTGAAAACTCACGAGAACAAGCGCGGCAAAACCCAAGTTGTAGAACAGGCAGTTTCTCATGATCCAGTTATTGATGTGGAAAGTTTAGGCGAAAGTTGCGAGTCTTCCCTCCAGATGTCACAGTTTAGTTACCCTGCATCACAGTGATTTGTATATCCTGTACAGTGGTAAAGTGCAATTTTGTTTTTAAGTAGATGTAAATACTAAATATTTTGACTTTGTACAAATATCAGTAGATGTGATTGTTTAACTTTACCAAAGTAATGTCATGACTATATTGTGTGTATGTGCGTAAAAATGATTAGTAAATGTTATAAAAGAAACCTAAATAAACAAGTTAAGAGTGTTTCAGTGAATAGCTGTTGTCTTTGATTCACTTTTTAATTTTGTTTACAACGATCACAACTGTTTAGAACACCCGTTTTTGCTCTAATATTGAGTTTTTCAAGCAGTACTTTCCACAAGGTACACGATATCCGGTCAGTTGCAACAGGTAGTCTGTTGCATGGTTGGAGATTATGTCATCAGACGACTTTTGTCAACTTTTAGTTTTTATATAGTGAAATAATCCTCACTGATACCTAGTTTCTATTAAGTGTTATTAAGCGATCTCACAAAGTAGTCCATAAACGCAAGATCCAAAAAGGTCCAAATCGTGGGTGCAGCTATCAGCTGATCGGAACAATGTAAACTATACTGTTTGGTGAAAGGTGACGATGGTTTACTAGACTTAACCGAACTAGAATTGGGAATTTTAAATACACAATTTCTTTCTCGATACGTTTCATAAACTGCATTGAAATTTAAGTTAGTTTGTCTGACAGAGAGAAAAGGAAAACTTACAAATATTTCATAACCTCTTATATTTCCTAATGCGTATAAGCGGAAAGTATAAAACCATGAAGATTAAACGCATACCGATGTACCAAAATCCTCCATATCAAACTCAACTTAGTTATAATACTGAACAATGGGCTATCTGCGTTGTGCACAAAGCAGGGATAGAACTCCGAATTTAAGTTTTTAAGCCCTCAGTTTTACTGCTGAGTCACCGGGGGTACACTAAATTATCAGTAACGTCGCCGAGATAATTTTTTTTTTAAATTTCTCACAAATCTACTCCAGAACTATCTGTGCTAGCTGTTCCTAATGTTGAACTGATATAATAAAGGGAAGGTAGCCAGTCAACAACACCAACCGACAACTCTTGGACTACTCTATCAACTATTAGTGGAATTGACTGTCACATCATAACACCCCCACAGCTGAAAGGGCGAGTATGTTCAGGGACGGGACTCTAATCCACAACCCTCAGAATGCGATTTCAATGCTCTAACTACAAGAAACTTTATTTTTACACATTGACCATTTTCTTCTCTTAACAAATAATTATTTGCAAAATCGTTATTAAAGAAAAATATTAGGCAACACTGAAATATATATATATATATATACTCTTATAAGGCAACATTTAAAGTTTAAACTACACTGGACTCGTCGTCGACTTGTAAAGTTTTCATCATGTTGAAAGTTAATGGTCGAGAGACATGGTATAGGTTTTAGCTAGTTTAACACAAGTTTTCTTTATATAAGCTAAATAGTTTGATTGGAGCAGAAAGCTGGTTAAGACTAATTTATTTCATAATAACTTAAAATAAGTACGATTATATATACACATATATATAACTGCATATATCTGGCCCTATAACGTTGCGTTTGTAGATTGCTTATTATTGCTCAACATATTAGTACTAATTAGCTATTTCTATTCATCCATAGCTACTCCAACCGGCAGGCCCCAAAGCTTTAAGAGCATTTAATCCACCAGTTGTAATCATTCTATCCATAACCTTTTGGTTACAGATGAGTTTTTCTAGCTTATTCCATTGGCCGTGTTTTAACTAGAAACATGCGTATCACCAATTAGACGGCGAGGCATTTTGTTACATTTTATTAACTTAAGGTTTTCTAATTGGGAACACTGTATCTTCAAACTTCTTCTTTCTTGTCGCTTGATAATACAACACACGTGTAGGTTATCAGGCTTATCTGCAATTAGCAGAATATTTCCTTAAACCAATATTTTACTTGTTAAGGGTAATAGAATTATACCCGAATGTTTTATACAAGGCGAAAAGTGAATTATCAGACAACACTGAAAATCCAGGATGGAAAATAAACTTTATCAGGCAAAAATGAAAATCCAGGATGGAAAATAAACTTTGTATCAAGCAACAATGAAACTCCAGGGTGATATATAAACTCTATATGGCAACATTTAAAGTTTAAACTACACTGGACCCGTCCTCGACTTGAAAAGTTTTCTTTATATTGAAAGTTAATGGTCGGAAGATATGGTATAGGCTTGTTTTAACTAGTTTTATACAAGTTCTTTTTATATAAGCTAAATAGTTTGATTGGAGCAAAAAGCTGGTTAAGACTAATTTATTCTTACTTATTTTATAATAACTTTAAACAAGAACGATTATTTTTGTCTCGGTAGGTAAATGACCATGTTATTTTGACGTAATCTTGACAAAGAACTCATTATTAATAGTATATTGAAAGCACTCGTTTTCCCTAAAAGTAATTACAACAAAAAAGCAATATTCAATACAATTTTACGTAAAAATTCATCTGCTTGGTTATTGAATATAACATATCATTTTCATTGAGCTTCACATACACATGATGTTTGTTGGTGTTATTCTAATGAACCACTTGGTTTGATTGGAGAGTATATATTTAAAATGTTTGAACGACTATTCTAGGCGATACGTATATATATATATGTGTGGTTGAAATGGGCCATAAATCAGGATAGTCTAGGGCTCAACGATTTATTGTTAAGCACAAAGATACATAGTGGGCTATCTGTGTTGTGCCCACCACGGGTATTGAAACCCCATTATATATGTACAGTAAGTATCCAAAGTCATACCCCCAACACTCAAGCATGAATTGCAGTTTTGCTTTAGCCTCTTTCACGTGGACAAAACGTGAAACTGTCACCGAATCAGCGTTACCGAACAATGTAACTATGAGATGTACTACGAACATAATGTGAAATACAGTGTGTACATTTTGTCCATTAGATGCGCGATCTGTGACAAAGGCATTCGCAGAAAAATTATCTGGTGATTTAAGGAAAAAAAAAGTATCAGCTCTCGTCAGACTGTCCATTAAAAAGGTCCAACTTAGATACATTTTTCTTAGTAAATCCACTTGAGAATTGTCCTCTTGCTATCTGAAATATATACGTATTTATTTCTCACTATACCAATGTTGCTCTCACCTAACTATATATATCCTTATATCAAGCTACCCGAGATTTTTCGAGAATATGCGGTACACTTCACATATAAATATTAATGACATTACTCAAGGAATATCAGAACAACATAACATATTTTATTTATACTATTTGTAATAACGGCATTAATTTTACCATTTATATTTCAAAATATTTGATTCACTTTCAAGATGTATTGAAAAGGAAATTTTTAGGAGGAATATGCTTCCCTGCTCCAATGAACAGACCTCTCACTTATTATGAGCGGACTCTCCTACCCCTATGAGAAGACTCCCCTGTTTCTATGAGCAGACTTTCCTTTCCCGATAAGCGGACTCTCCTTGTTTCCTCAGACTTTTCTTTCTCTGTAAGCAGACTCTCCTGCACCTATGAGAGGACTTCCCTTTTTTTATGAGCAGACTTTCCATTCCGTATAAGTGGACTCCCCTGGCCCTATGAGCGGACATTCCCCGCTCATAGAAAAAGGTGAGTTCTCTCATAGGGATAAACTTTCCTTTCCCTACGAGCTGATGTTCATAGACTTTGATACGACTGACAAATGCCAATAACAAACACATTTATGAGAGTTTAAAGTTTGTAGTGCAGACTAGAGAGTTATATTGATCGTTAAAAAGAAAAAGAAAACACGACCTATTACTGCAGAAAATATAATTGGGTCTCTTTAAATCAGCGTTTTGTCATTACGGTTTCTCGGAGGTAAACAAGACATTTATGTTTTCAGGAGTTTCGTGTTTTATTTATCTCACAGTGGTTTCGAAACATTGTTGTCACTACTATACAATCTCGAAAAGAGAGAGAGAAAAAAACGTTAGAGTAACTGTTACATACAGAAACTAATTG